AGCGATAACCCCCCCAGGGTAAACAGAACAGAACCAACATAAATGTATTGCAGATATCGTTAAAGTTCAATAATATTATCTACACATTTTAGAATTAGTCTGATTCAAAGGAGAATCAGAAGGTTGAATCCTGACTGACAGAGGAGGAGCTGGGGATGGAGAAGGGTAATTAGCTATTGAGCAATGCGAAAACTGCTGATAATATTGAGGGACCTTATGAATGCTAAGATAGGTGTCGTATTCCTATAGGTAGATGGGGATCAGCTGAGAGTCAGCTGATGCGAGCTTGACTAACGTGACCTGCCAGAACTAACGCTACGCTTGATACTGCTAACCGCCTTCCACGAGTCTCGTCCTGACCACCCTGCATCTCGTAAAAGAGGAAGGCAACCACGACATCAGGGTCCTCGTCCCTCAGGAGCAGGCCCTGGAGGAGGGGGTGGGGTGGGGATGGGTACTGTCACAGACCTGCCAGGCACTCCACCCAGCCAATCACAATGCTCAATCAACTATGATATAATTTTTGCATGATTCATGAATTTTGAATAGAGCGACTACTGCAAGATATGTGAAAATAGTGTTTGAAATGGGATTAAAGGGGACATTGGATGCAAAATTCACTTTTACATGGTGATTGCATACAAATGTGTAAATTATCAACATGTGATGTTCTACTTGTAGATGCTCACGTCCTCGGACTCAGAATTATGCATTTCTATGGCAACCCTATCAACTCCTAAACATAGCGCTTAAATGAATCTGCTGCGGTCAGGTGGTACAAGTCGTAACTCTCAGAAAACTCCCAGCCTACAAGCTGTAATTACGATGTCTACGAGAGCGTGAACGCATTTTATAAGTTGAAATCTTTTAATTGCAGTAATTCCAATATGGCGTGAATGCAGCATAAGCTACTGAGGTTTTATTTTATTTTATTATTCTTATTTTAAGCATAAGTCATAATCAGGGGTGCACTTAAAGGGTTAGTTCACCCAAAAATGAAAACTCTGTCATTAATCACTCACTCAATATCTTCATTCCAGACAGCCAGGTAAGATATGTGAGACCACTTGACTTCCTTGTTTTTTTAATATTTATTTATTTTTCTTCTCATGCACTGATTCTCTGAACTGAACAGACAATTTGAATGATATCTTTCACCAACTGCCCAATGTGGATTCAACATAATCAAAAAGCCGCCAACCGGGTCCAACTAGTGCCAACGGGGCAGGACACACTGCGAAAACTGCTCAGTGATGGCCTATTGTTGCCAGACAGCCAACTGTTGGCTTAGTGTCACAGCCACAAGTAAACCACATCAGTCCCAACAATGTGTGTGCTCAAATCTGACACAGAGACAGTGAAGAATCATAATGAACCCCAAATCCAGCATAGAGGGGTTCGGTGAATGTGGTGTTGAATGTGTGTAAGTGTGTGAGTGTGTGTGTGTCAGAGACACTGTAGAAGGACAGAGTGCCAGCAGGACAGTCCAGATACACTCCGGCTCTAGTAGAGGATGAAGGGGCAGGTATGTAAGTTTTCTTATTATTGTGACGGATAGTGAATCTGTCATCAAAGTACCACAGACTCCAGGATTTATCATTGTATCCAAACCAACAAGCTTTACGTTCTTTCCTGCTGATTCCTTTATATGACACTGCTATAATAGCAAACCTCCCACTCCATTCAGCCTCCCAGTAATGGCGTCCAGTCAGACTCTCAACACACAGAACCTGATCACAGAACTCAAATCTCTCTGGATGATCAGGATACGGCTGATGCTCATACACAAGCATTATCTCCCTGTTCTCATCAGACAGGAAGAGACGAGTGTGTGCTGTGTTTGGATCCAGTGTGAGATCACAGGCCCCTGAACACAAGAAGAGAGATAAAACACTGTTTCTGTGGTCCATTGACCCCTATTGGTCCTTTAAGTAATTCCAGTAGGTCTGAATATAATATCTGAGTAGCATATATCATATAATTGTTTAACAATATAATATTCGGACAGATGACATGTTCCCATTAAAAAGGCAATATAACTGATGATATGGCTGAATATTGGACAAGTCAACTGACTTTAAAAGTGAATTATACTTAATTGCATTTGTTCATCACAAAGACATAAAGGATAGGTTGAGGATGGTTTCAAAGGAAGTTTGTGATTATTGATTCTCAAAAAAGCTTGAGAATCACTTATCTACAACAACAACAACACAACAATTATTAAAGGTGTGCATGTGTTTGAAGACTTACATTTTTGTAGTCCTGCTGACATTCTGATCACTCCTCCATGATCAACACTATAAACACACAAACACACACACATCTGAACTGTATCTCTCACGTTCATTATCAGGACATTCATCACAAGTAGTATTTTTTTTTACTACACAATTTATTATAAGTGAAAATGTAGTAAAAATATTAAAATTATTTTGGGATCTGCATCTTTTCTTCCATTGTCATAGATTAAAATGAACATTGCTCTTAGACTTGATCAGTCAGTAGTTTGGCACTAATTAAGAAATAAATAGTGGTTTTGTGAAGAGTAATCTGAATGGGTACACAAGTGACAGTTCTAGACCCTTGTGAAGTCTTGTTAGTTTAAACATTCAAGTGATTTTAAGCCATTTAATCGCAAGACACTGTGAAAGAGAACTCAAATCAGTACTCGCATGATGTGAGTTTCTGTGCACGGACAAAGAAAGCCACCACTCAGACAGCACACGAGTAGCGAGTCTTTGTGAGCAAATACACACAAAATTTTGTCTGTTTTCCTGTATTTATTTGTGCTACTGGTTGTAATTTATTTGACCTGGACTGTTGAATACAGACTAGCCATAAACATGACCCTATTCCTAAAACAGCAGTTCCCAACCAGGCAGCTTCATTTAATTAACTTAATATATCAGCATTAATATTTCCAGTTTCTGATAAGTGACGTTTGAAAACAAGCAGCATTGACAGTTACTGCAGAAAAATTGAGAGAGTAATTGTCTATGCAAAACCATTCCCTTTTGTTGTCTTCCTGTTGCCTCTCCAGTGCACCTGTTGTCACTTTCATTTGCACTGAAGCAAGTGAAACTAATTCACAGTCACAGTCCTAACTGGACAGATGGATATCCCCGAAGTTGAACTGACTTTGTGGTATACTGTGATAATTAAGTGTTACCTTTCTTTTTTTTGAGCAGTGTATAAAAAATTAGTTAGTATACTGTACAATATTTTACTGCCATACATACTTGAGTATCTGCAGTTTATAGTTTGGATCCTCCAGTTTGTGTTTGAGCAGCTGGAATCCTGATGGTCCTGGGTGATTGTAGCTCAGATCCAGCTCTCTCAGCTGTGAGGGGTTTGAACTCAGAGCTGCAGACAAATAACCACAGCCTTCCTCTTTCACCATACAGCCAGACAACCTACAGACACACATCAGGAGTCAAATCACATTATTGGGTCACTCAGATCCAGCTCTCTCAGGTGTGAGGGGTTTGAACTCAGAGCTGCAGACAAATAACCACAGCCTTCCTCTTTCACCATACAGCCAGACAACCTACAGACACACATCAGGAGTCAAATCACATTATTGGTGACATTACAAATATCATGTACAAACACTTATACCTATATTAGTGGCCTGAATTATATTAAGAAAGATTTGGCTGCAGGGTTAAATTTACAATACTTTCTTTAAATATTTATCCTAAAAATAAAAGAATAAAAGTTCTGATTGGTTGCCGTTATAATCTATGTTCGTGCTCAGTGTAGACAGATACATCACTTGTTGCATCACATCTGGTTAATACACAGTGTAAAGGCAAAATCTGCTACTTTAAGGAATTCAAATTCTACAGTTATTTTGATTTGTTTAGGATTGTTTAAAGGGGTCATATGACGTTGCTAAAAAGAACATTATTTTGTGTATTTGGTGTATTTATATGTATGTATATTTTCCACATACTGTACATTATTGTTTCTCCTCTATGCCCCGCCTTTCTGAAATGTGTCGATTTTTACAAAGCTCATCGGTCTGAAAAGCGAGGTGTGCTGTGATTGGCCAGCTATCCAGTGCGTTGTGATTGGCCGAATACCTCAAGCGTGAGACGGAAATGTTACGCCCCTCACCATACTGTGATGCCGTGTCCGGCCGGAGCGACGAGACAAAAACATGAAAACCCATTATAAACGAGGCATTCGTTGCATTCAGTGGGGACATAATTACTGATTATAATGACTTATACTGTCTTTTTACGCGTCGCGTCACGATGTAAACATAAAACCCGTCTGCATTTGTGATCGGAGAAATGACAAACAACAAGTGCTAGGCTGACTCTTAACTTTTATAAAGAATATCTCTTTGGATTTGAGACTTTAGTCTTTGCAACTTTACAGATCTTCTTTATGCACCAAGAGCTTGTAACACTCCAAAGAGAAAGGAAAAATTTAAATCGCATCATATGACCCCTTTACAAAGTGGAAACTAGTATTAACAAAGATTGATTAGGTGTGTCCAAATTTCTGACTGGTACTGCACTTATTCTCTTTATAGAAATCAATGTAAAATCTGCTCAAAAGCCACAGACAGAAAGGTGAAATGATGTTTTGTGTGAGCTGGCCCTGCCTGCAAGGATCATACAATACATATGTTACTGCAATAGTTGTAAGAAGATCATGTTAGGCATTTATCTTCTGACTCACTGAATAATATGCCCTCACACACACATGCTTCAGTTTATCCCCCAGCATGGGAAAACCTTTGTTTTCTTTTAGGTTGAATCAGATCTGACTGTAGAGTCTGCCTGAGGGTAGAAGTGAAAATAGGCTGTGTCCTGGGTGAGAGGGGTCTGTGATGAGTTAACCGCCTGTTTCTTTATTTCCGGAGACGAGTAAGACTCTCTGATGTTGTTCTGTCCCCATATGTGGACAAAAACAATGCATACACTTCAGCAAACAGACTCCTTTTCTTAATTATTATCAGCATGTTGATAGTTTTTCTAAATATCTTGCATTGAAAGTTACGGTAATGCCAAGTATTTCGACCTCTGAGGCAATCTCAAACTCACGCTGATGAACTCAGAGATTGAGGGAGTGTAAAATACAATAGCAAGCAGTTTATTAGAATATAACAACACAAAACCTACTCAGGAATCAAGGAACAGGGCACAAGGAACAGAACTGAACATGCCAGCGGAACATCCATAAAGGAACAACACCAGACAATGAATGGAAGAAATACCAAGTCCTATATACACAGGTGTTAATTAGACACAGCTGAAAAAAAGGAGACTAATGACGACGGACCAGGAAATGGAAAGAAAACAAAAGCGCAAGGAACAGAGAGCAAAATGTGACAAAACATATACAACTCTGTTGCAGTGCTAGTAATCTGGAACATCGAAACCTTTAAATGTAGCTGCACTGCAGTACTACTGTTTAAAATATTTTTAAAGGTAGTAGTTAATCATTGTTCAGTACATCATTGTAAAAGACAGCACTGTATTATTAATTACCTCAGTATCTCCAGCTGACAGTTTGGACTCTTCAGTCCATCAGAGAGAAGCTTCACTCCTGAATCCTGCAGGTCATTGTTACTCAGATCCAGCTCTCTCAGGATGGAGGACTGTAACACTGATGACAAACTCTCACAACACTCAACAGTGAGATTACAGGATTGTAGCCTGTGTGGAAAACAAAACAAATAACGTTATAATGTGCATCAGACAGGATTTATAATCGAAGATTTACTTGTCTGATGGTGGAGATTAAGCGTCACTTAATGAAATGTAATATTACCACTCAATTAGAAAGAATAATTATGTATATACAGTACATGAAAAAATGTAAAAATGATTCTTACAGTGCCCTTCTGGTGTTTGTGATAACGGGCAGCATTCTCATCAGTGCTTCTTCAGATCTTTTGTATTTCTGCAGTTCCAACTTATCTTGAGTCACTTCTGACATCAGCAGCACAAACACCAGAGCCGACCACTGAGCAGAGGAGAGATTCTGTGCCGAAAGATTTCCTGAGCTCAGATTCTTCTGAATGTCCTTGACAAAGTCATATTTCAGTTCACTCAGACAGTAGAACAGGTTGATGGTCCTCTCCACTGATTTCTCCTTCTCTATTGTCTGTTTGATATAGTCAACGATTTCTTTAATGTTCACGGTACTCAGTTTCAGTTCTGGCAGCAGTTCCTTCAGGTCACTCTGATTGGACTCCAGTGAGAGACCCAGCAGGAACCGGAGGAAAAGGTCCAGGTGTCCGTTCTTGCTTTGTAAAGCCTTGTTGACTGCAGACTTCAGAAGATGAAACAGCTGCTTATTAGACAGTTTCCATGATAGTGTCTTTCTCCAGGTTTGAAGAAATAGGTTTGATTTCTCATCTTTGTAAATCAGAAACACATAGAGAGCGGCAAGGAACTCCTGGACACTGAGATGTACAAAGCTGTAAATGTTTCTGGCTGAAACAACCTTTTCCGTCTGAAAGATCTGAGTGCATAACCCAGATAACACTGACCCTTCACTGACATCTAGTCCACACTCCTCAAGATCTTCTTTGTAGAAAATCAGATTTCCTTTCTCCAGCTGTTGAAAGGCCAATTTCCCAAGCTTTAGAACAATCTGATCAAAAGACCTGGCTTTGAACTTAAGTTCAGGATTATCACTGTATTTTTTTTCCATCTGAACCTTCTGAGAAAGCAAGAAGTTTGTGTACATCTCTGTGAGAGTTGTGGGAGTTTTGCCATTGCTCTCTCGAGCCAGCAGAGGCTGAAGAACAGTGAGAGAGATCCAGCAGAAGACAGGGATGTGGCACATGATGTAGAGACTCCTGGATTTCCTGATGTGACGGATGATGTTTCCAGCTACCTCAGGACTGCTGTTTTTGATGAAGTATTGCTCTTTCTGCTCATCATTAAATCCTCGCACTTCTGTCACTTGATCAATGTAGTCTCGGGGTATTAGACCTGCTGCTGCTGGTCTGGATGTGATCCAGATGAGAGCAGAGGGAACCAGATGCCTTTTGATCAGGTTTGTAACTATTTTACTCACTGTTGTTTGTTCATGCACATCTGTAAATCCATCACTATCATGAAATCCCAAAGGGAAGTGACACTCATCCAGCCCATCAAAAATAAACATGACCTTACCGTCATCTTCAGGAAGAGAGGGCAGTTCTTCAGGATCACTAAAGAAGCATTCGTTAAGCAGTTCCATGAGACTGCAGTTCTTTGTAATCATATTCAGTCTACGGAATGGGAGTGGAAATATGAAGAGTATGTCTTGATTTTCTCTTTCTTCAGCCCAGTCAAGAATGAATTTATTGACAGAGACTGTCTTTCCCACCCCTGCAATCCCCATTGTTAGTACTTTTTTATTTTGCCGACCAGTATCATACTGGACTTTGAATAGGTCATTGCACAAGATTGTGGTGTCCTTCACAGTAATTTGGTGAATATTCAATTCAATCTGTCTCACCTCGTGGTCACTCACTATTCCTCCAGTCTCATTCTCCACCACGAATAGATCAGTGTAAATATCATTCAGATATTTCTGATGACCTGTTTGTGAATTACCAACCAATATCCGCTTATAGTCCTCTTGTAATCTGTTCTTCAGTCTGAGGCCGATCTCTCCGTAATCGGGAATACCAGCTTTACTATCCTCTGCAGTTGAGCCTTTGTGAAAAAGGAAAATAAAACACAGCAAAAAAAGTTAGATATCTCAAAATTCTGATTTTAGAACTATAGACTGAATTTGGATTGAAATTATTTTGTTGAATGAACTTGGTATAATAATTTTTTTCAGCTGTATAATTAATTTTAACCTTGTCTATGATGTCCTCTATGAATAAATTTACTTGAATAAGTGTTTTATTTATCTTAATGCTGTGTTCAACACTTAAAGGCACAATATGTAAGATTTTTTTATTAAAATATCCAAAAACCACTAGAACAGTGTTATATATTTTGCTGACTTTATGTACTTACATTATCCCAAATGTTTAGAAGATTGTTTAAATCCAGAGAAATAAGCAATTTTAACTAGTGACACGGAGCGTGTCCATAGTGTCATTGTGTCGCCTGTCAATGACGTCATAACCCCTCACTCCCATGATTCCACACTCAGTCACGGCGTCATCAAACTACACCTTTGTCTCTTTGTTTATTTTGAATACGCACCCTCCAGCAGCGAAAATTACATATTGTGCCTTTAAGATCACAACATACTTATAGATTCATTAGAAAATTACACTGGTATTTATTTAAATCCTACTTGTCTGACTGTTACCCTTTTTAATTTAAACAGGGAATTATGTTAATTAAGTTAACAGCAGTAAAGTATGGAGTCCCACAAAGATTTGTCTTAGGCCCTTTGGTATTTTAAATATATATGTTGGCCCTTGGTAATGTTAGAAAATACGGGATTAATTTACATTGTTGCTGATGATGCTCAGTTATATATTTAATCGAGACCAGTTGACATTCCTAAATGATCTAAGTTAACAGAGTGTGTTAAGGTGTAAAGTTCTTACCAGGTCAAGAAAAAATGTAATTTCAGTCATTTATGCCTCAGTTTTAATGTTTTTAACTGAGATAGTGTAATAATTTTTAAAAACAAATATATTATTATTATTTACATAAGAAACAGATGCAAAGATAAATGTACACTAATCACACTTGAGAAATGTCTCAGTATTTTTTGTTCATACAATGCATTGTTGAAAACAGTTTGGTTACCAACATTCTTCAAAATATCTTTTTAATAATACTGTAAACATTAAACTAAAACTGCCAGTAGGTGGCAGTAAATGTGTTAATGAGTAAGTCATTAGGTCATTCATTCATTTGATTCATTCAAAGGGCTGATGCATTCAGGAATGAAGTAAATGGCTCTTTATGAATGAGCCATTCCATCACTGGTTTGCCCGATTCATTCAGAACCCAGGTTCATTCAGAAATGAATCACTTCTGTGTTGCTCGGAGATGCACAACAGCTCTGCTGTGGCTTTATAGGTAATATTTTTATTGAAAATTGAGATAAAACAAACAATATTGTGCCACCAATCAACTGTATGAAATGTAAGATGACATACGTAGGTCTGGGGTGGGACGGGTGCGTTAAATGCATTCATTATTAATGCATTATTAATTAAATTAACACCTTAAATCAACGGCCATAATAATAACGCTTCTTGTTCACTAACTGCCACACGAATTTACCACACATCCAGTTAATCACATTCACGTTTAGTGTACATACTACAACACTGACTCTGATTATGCTTAATAAACAGACGATGTGTAATGTCATGCACTTACTTTGGCTCATGCACAGGTTAATAGGAATAAATAAAGCCAAAACTCTTACTGTAATAATTCTGTAAATGTGCTATTTCAGGGAATATGACTTACTATGAATGAAATGTAAGGCTGGCTTGAATTCCTGACAGGCACAGACACCACGCAATAAAACTACAAACCTGGAGAAGAGATCATGAAGCAGCGGCACAGAAGACCATTTGTCTCTGTACTCGTGTTGAGAGGTGTGCTCTCTGAAGAGCTACAGTCTTGCGGAGGGGACGCTACATCCCACTCAATTTACTTATATCAGATCTGCTGCTGTTGTTGCAAGCAATTATTTCTCTTGTATCTACCTGAGATAAAGGCCGTATGATAAAATATGAATAAACCCCATCGTGGGGTAAATAAATATTCCCATGTATAGAAAGTGATCATTATTTACCCTTGATCTGTTCTGAAGCAGCTCCAGCGGTGGCAGAAACCTCTATATTGCCCTGAGTTTGAACTGTTCGAGAGAGACGAAACAAAATGACAATGCAGTGACATAAATCACTCAAACACAGTGACAAAGCAAAGAGGAACGTTTAAGCTGAAACTCAACTATTGCTTCATTCTTTACACGTCCAAAGCCACTCTGTTGATGATCAAACATATAATTGGACTTTTAGTCACCTTGCTTGTGTTCGTTCTCTAACTCTTCAGCCAGAAGGTTCTGGTTCATCTTCTTCAGGATGTCCACCGTGATCTTCACAGCTTCTGCTCCAAAACATGCCACCATCTTATCCACTGTGTTTAAGACATCTGCTTTGTCCATCGCAGAAGCTGAAACACACTCATGATTCTTCAAGTGCCACTGAAACTCCCTCAGATCAGCTTTTACTAGATCCTTCAGTGAGTTCACGAGCAGCTCTTTAACAGATGCCATCTTCCTTCAATGATTCACTTCTGCGGGACAAGAACAAGATCTGAAGTAGTTTCACTCTTAGCATGTGGATTTGTGCACAAATGTTATTTAGATTCTAAAATGTGACCCTGGAGCACAAAAGCAGTCTTAAGTCGCTGGGGTATATTTGTAGCAATAGCCAACAATACATTGTATGGGTCAAAATTATAGATTTTTCTTTTATGCCAAAAATCATTATGATATTAAGATCATGTTCCATGAACATATTTTGTAAATTTCCTACCGTAAATATATTAAAATTTAATTTTTGATTAGTAATATGCATTGCTAAGAACTTCATTTGAACAACTTTAAAGATGATTTTCTCAATATTTAGATTTTTTTGCACCCTCAGATTCCAGATTTTCAAATAGTTGTATCTCGGCCAAATATTGTCCGATCCTAGCAAACCATACATCAATGGAAAGATTAGTTTTTCACCTTTCAGATGATGCATACATCTCAATTTCTAAAAATTGACCCTCATGAGTGGTTTTGTGGTCCAGGGTCACAAATGTTTGCTGCGATGAGATCAGGCCATGAGTGAAAGTGCAGTGAAACTAATGTTTCAGAGTTACATGTTCTGCTTCGAGATTACTAAAGACCAGCTTCACATGCAGTGACTGCCAGCTGCAACTTGCTCCTTATGAACACTTCCTGTCCCTGCGGTACATTATAGATGGATTTATCATGTTCTTTTGCAGTAAACAATAATCAATCCCACATTAACACACACAAACACGGACACCAAACAGAATAGCAGAGGGATGCAAACAGTCTTGTGTGTGGAAGAAAAGTGAAGTAGCCAAATGTGCAATGTGGCTGTGTTGGGAATCACCCCCTATTCCCTCCTTGGATGGATGATTCAGCTGCAGGCGCCATCTTCTGGCGAGACACGGGAATTCATTTGGCACGACCCTCACAGTGCATTATGGGTATTCGCTAGCTGTTGGGTGTACATCAGTTGTACACTCGTTATTGTGGTTGCTCTTAAAGATCATTTGGTCTGAACTTTTGAATTGCTGAGTACTGGAAGGAAGAAATGAGACATGGGACTTCCGTAAAACAATGTTTTTCAGTTGTTTGTGACAGCAAGGAAAAGCACCTTCCTTCTGCGACAACCGCAACAACAAAATAGACAAAATGTCGATGCTGAAGCGAGACAAAATCATGCTGGAACGGAAAGGACTTTTTTTAATGCAAGCATTTGTTTTTAGAAAAACAAAACTCCCTTCTGTCCCGTGAAACCTGCAGATGCCCCTACTCAGCATTAAACAGCACTCATGAGCAGAGGTGGACAATCCAGGGGTCAGAAAGTAAAAGTCCTGCCATATGTTTATTCCACCCATGAACTCAGCAGCTGATTTCACCAGAGGAGGAACCAAGTCATTCCTTTCAAATCAAATCTCGAATCATATCCCAAGTCCTCAAAGAGTTAACGTTAATGAGATAATTAAGTGACTAATTAAATGATGAGTGTGCATTAGTGATGAACATCCGCTGTTATTGAGAATTACAGAGGATCAGATGCTGATGTTTTATTGGTTAAAATGATGCCACCATCATGGAGATCAGTGTTTGCTTTAGTTGGGCTCTTGACCCTTTTAATAATTCAAAGCGGTTTGCTTATAAGCAATTGCAATATTGCTTCACAACAAACATTTGTGCATGTGCGCATTGCTGAATTGAAAGCTTGAGGTAACAGATGAGCTTACATTTTCTGCTTTTAAGTCACTTGAATGAATGTCATGAAGGTGTTTCTCTTTGGTTTATTGACTGACATTCAGCTATTTCAGAACTGCAATTAAGTCCTATTAAACAAATGTCACTGTAACAAACACCAGTGCAACGCAGCATCGTACATTACATGCAGTGGACCGTCACTTCACATGGACTTTAGACAAAGCAAGACTGTAAAACATACGCAACCTTTGTACTAGAAACCAATGTCAGAAGTTGTTTTGGGGTGTGTATCTTAACACCTTTAACCATATCTTCAAAGTAAGTTGAATATGCACTTGAATTATAAGCATCTAAAATAAAAAAACTCACCACAGATGAATCTGCAGTCCTAGTTGTATGTTCGTGCTCAAGGTCTTAAAACGTTTAAATCTATACAATAATAGCACAATAAATCTGTGGTGTAATCAGCTTCGTGCGTCCAGCCTCAGAGAGACTGGTCCATGGGATCAGAATTTGAATCAACAATCAACTTAGTCTTTTATAATCAGGATGTGAGGTCATAACTCGGCCAAGGCGTCCAAAGTCCTCCTTCTTCCCTGTCCAGATACCTTTCAGCATGACTAACACACACAGACACACATGGGAATGTTTGAGAAAAAGTTAGAAAGCTTTTAAAATTACAAGCTTTTTATGTATTTATTTTTTTTACAGGGCATAAGACATTTTATGTTAAATATAATGAGTAAATGCACTGGCTAAATAAGTTGAGTGAAAAGTGAAAATAATAAAACAAAAAAAGTCAGGATCATAGCAAAAAAAAATAATAATTAAAAAAAAAAAGGCATTAAAATAGATTCATCCGTCAGTATATTAGGCGTGAGAAAAACGTCCATCACACGTCAGACGTAACCCACATGGCTCTGATCAGGAGTCAGTCTCGTGATGCTGACAGGTGAGTCAGCCTGTGTGTGAGAAGGAGCTTTGCCCGACAGGTATGTCATTTCTTTTTCTATAGGGATGAAGAGATATTGTAATCAGACCACCTGACTAAAGGAATCACCACTGAACATCAACTGATTTATCAGCCTAAGAGTGTCTGCGTCCAGTCAGGTCATCGTTACTCAGGTCCAGCTCTCTCAGGACAGAGTTACGTAGATACTAATTTAACAGAACTCATTGGTGCATTTGTTGGACACTCTGAACAGAGCAATTAAAAACAAAGATTACAAATCAGCTCAATGTACGCTTTCAAACATGAAATATACTGTATAATGTACATTTTGCATCAGTTCAAATGAGAAATGGTTGATTACACAAAGAAATCTGCCGATTGCCTCCATTCTTGGTTCTTACTAACAAAACTCCAAATTTTCCTTCAAAGTAGTTACTAAGTCACCTTAAATAATAATACTTGTAGATGTTTCTTGCACTTCCTCTGAACTGTTATCTTGAGCAGAAGCTCCTCCCACTTCTGAATTTCCATAAATCTTTTCTTTTTTTTGCCTGAACCAGTTAAACCACACCCACTTTTGTTAAACATCACTATTGCATCACATGATCCAGTAGATGAAAGTACACACAGGTATTGTGTCCATAATCCAGAAGCTTTCAAGCAGTTTCTGGAGCCTGAGCTCAGGTCTGATCAGCTGAGGAGTTCAGAATGAGGAACATCTCAAAGGTGCAACAATAAGGAGGCTCCAGGAACAGTTTGGAAACCATCGCAGCCAAGCATGACGTTAATGAACTCTCCATAGAAACAGCATGCCCACACCAGCGTCTGTGTTAGTGTTTGTCAGATAGTGAGCGAGTCTTTCAGCTTATCTGTGCTTCCACAGCAGGTTTATATGACGCTTTTCAGAGAGGTATGATCTCACTTTCTATCTATCTACTCGTGAAAGAAATATTCCTCTATTAAACAAAAGTGATAGAAAAAAAATGTTGCTTGAATTTATAAATATACAACACACACACAACTTAATTTGACCCTTCAGAAAAAAGACCAGAAATCAGTGACGGACAGAAAGTAAGACTGTGATTAAAATGAGTAAGACTGCTGCTGTTAGAGAATGACAATCAGAGAGCAGCGCTTTATAACATCTAGAGGAGTTTCATTTATTGTATTTATTGAATACTGGTAAAAAAAAAAAAAAAAATGTTTGCAATCACCAATAAATAAATAAATTTAAGCATAGCTTTATATACCGTTATATTCAGCAGGCTATATACAGTAAATGTAGAGAATATATGTGACCCTGCAGCACAAAAGCAGTCATAAGGGTCAATTTGTGTATACGTCATCTGAAAGCTGAATAAATAAGCTTTCCATTGATGTATGGTTTGTTAGGATAGGACAATATTTGGCTGAGATACAACTATCTGAAAATCTGAAATCTGAGGGTGCAAAAAAAATCTAAATATTGAGAAAATCATCTTTAAAGTTGTCCAAATGAAGTTCGTAGCAATGCATATTACTAATCAAAAATTAAGTTTTGATATATTTACGGTAGGAAAGTTACAAAATATCTTCATGGAACATGATCTTTACTTAATATCCTAATGATTTTTGGCATAAAAGAAAAATGTATAATTTTGACTCATACAATGTATTGTTGGCTATTGCTACAAATATACCCCAGCGACTTAAGACTGCTTTTGTGCTCCAGGGACACATATTTCTACAGAACTCTGAGTGATCCCACATCTATTAATAAACGCTTATTCACTCATTTCTCTTCTGAAGGTGCAGGACCATGGTGGGAACGTTAAATGAATTAGTCCATCTGAGTAACACGAGGTTCGGTCGACCCCGGCCCAGACACGGACTCAAACTCCTCTACTGGTTTGCCAGTGAATGCGTCTCTTTTGAAAACCACAGCATGCTCTCTGAATGTGACCCAGCCGAGGGAGAGAAATCTGAGGGTGCAAAAAAAATCTAAATATTGAGAAAATCATCTTTAAAGTTGTCCAAATGAAGTTCTTAGCAATGCATATTACTAATCAAAAATTAAGTTTTGATATATTTACGGTAGGAAAGTTACAAAATATCTTCATGGAACATGATCTTTACTTAATATCCTAATGATTTTTGGCATAAAAGAAAAATGTATAATTTTGACTCATACAATGTATTGTTGGCTATTGCTACAAATATACCCCAGCGACTTAACACTGCTTTTGTGCTCCAGGGACACATATTTCTACAGAACTCTGAGTGATCCCGCATCTATTAATAAACGCTTATTCACTCATTTCTCTTCTGAAGGTGCAGGACCATGGTGGGAACGTTAAATGAATTAGTCCATCTGAGTAACACGAGGTTCGGTCGACCCCGGCCCAGACACGGACTCAAACTCCTCTACTGGTTTGCCAGTGAATGCGTCTCTTTTGAAAACCACAGCATGCTCTCTGAATGTGACCCAGCCGAGGGAGATTTTGGGTTTCACTATTTTCAGAACAGATACAACCAATATGGGAATAAACTTCTTCCAGACGAAGATTTCCCTTACTATGTGGTTGGCAATCTAAATTCACCAGGAGCTGAAGATCTTCCCGATTACGTCTCAAAAGACAAATACACTGAGGAGCACGACAGCAACACGGATCGCATCATTGTCAGTCTAGATGAGGAGTGCTTTCATCGGGTTTATGTGACTCGACACCACGACCGATCCAACTACAATCCAGACGCCACTTACTGGATCTCCAGAGGCCTTCTCATGATCATCAGGAGGATGAGTTTATGTGCGTTTCTGGTGGAGATGGGTTATTATTCATACATACAGTATGTCCCACCAATGCCTGTCATTAATTACAGACTTCAAACTACAAACACAGTCAGTTCAGATTTCACTGCAGTCACTCTATCCTCCAGTGAACCAGCACACAATGAGCCTCCTGCAGCTCAGAACAACGACACCATAATCCAGTTAGATGATGACACGCCTGCGCAGGAACCCTTACCCAAGAAGAAGGGGTTCTGTGAAAGATTCTGCACCATTCTTTAAAACAGGGCTCAAATGAAATTACCACTCAAATGATTTTGATTGGACTCGCTGGTCAATTTCATATTTGTCTTTCCGTTGCAAAGACGGTAGCAAATAACGAACATTAGCATATTTTATCATCATCTTTCAACCATAAAGATTGCATTCACAAACTGATGATCTCTAATAATCTGAAGAATTCTAAATGAGCTTGTGCATGTGTGTTATATAACGCAGCCTGCATCAGCTTACATGTGTGATTTTCTCACCGTTCCCTTCCTCACTGATCTGCAGTTTTGATGTGGACATTTAGTGTGCACTTCTGAGGGTGCGTGAGACATCTGACCCGACATCTTCGCAACCTGGAAATATGTGATAATTCATTAACAGAATGACTGGTGACAAGACACCGCCAATGCCATCGCTTTCGCTTTCAAATTTTAACAAAGAAACTACAACTTGCAATTCACAATTTCCTATTGCTGCAACACTGACAGAGGAATCAGATGCATAAATAAAAGAAATCACATGATGCTTTCAGTGATGGAGTTTATAATCGTTTATTTAATATTTTGTACATTAATGTTTTGAGCAATTTGATTTTTTTCATTATTCGTCAACTTTACGTTTTTAGAATCACTCAAATGTGTATTAATGGACTTTCTCTAATAGCTTGCTGATGACTTACTGGGCCGTCGTGACTTAATGGTTGGAGTTGGACGTGTAACCCAAAGGTCGCGGGTTCGAGTCTCGGTATTTAACATTATACCTAGATCAGATCAGTACATTTAGCAGTACATAGAATCATAAACCCTATGGTAAGTATAATAGGCATAAAAAAAAACGTAATTATTGGTCCCAAAAAACAAAAACAAAAGTATCATGAAAGAAATCAGAAATCCAATCCAAATGAACTTTTGGACCCTTGTATTTTTCCCGTTCATCATTCCATAGCTTGTCCCGCACCATACTCATGTCTGTTAGTACTCGGGAAATATTCCCTCCATCTGTATCATCTGCTGGAGAGAAAGCGCAACATTCCTCCCCAACTGTTACAAGCCACTCAATAAAGTTGAACTGAACCCAGATAGCACATGTACATCTCAAAGATTCTGGAAAGCATCAGCTGTGAACAAACATCTGATAAATGTCTTTAAAAAGTCAGTTTTACAAACATTCTAAACCATAAACATCTTAAAGGCATTTCCTCAATGTCCATGTAACATCTGACAGGAAGCATTTTAGAGATCCCTTACCCAGATTAACCATGGTTTTACTACAAACAAAACCAAAAGATATCATGGTTACTAAAGTTGAACCATGGGAACCACAAAAGCTGGGTTGCACTTACGGTATGGTATGCGCAAATGCAATCATTGCAGGAAAGATGATCGCGGGGAAATCCATGCAACATTCTGTAACAGTTACGCGGAAACACACACAGAACGCGTTATCTCTCAGTCATATGAAGCATATATGTGCTGTCATGAATATGTATTTCTCCTCATCGGATATTGTTCTCATGAATAATATCAGAGTTTGGGAAACTGCAGCGGGGCCAGTTTAGCCGGTGTTAATGGAGGAGCAGTTACATGAAATCCATTTAATGCAAGTCATGTCTCCAATATTCTCTGGACATTTGTAAAAGACAGAAGTTGCTATGAAAGCGTAATTTGATGGTTTCATGTACATTAATGTTAAGTAAATGAATGACTGCTCTGAATATTCTATTTTCATTTGTTGCATGCAGATGCGATTTGAGAATTCCATGTACATTAACTGTTCAGTGAATTAATAAAAGTAAATGAATGATTGTTCTGATAACACACGTGCTGTTTTGAGGTGTTTTGTTAATTGCAATTATTAAGCTAATAGTTTAAACATTTTACAAGTTATTCTCACGTTTGTCTGGATAAAAACATTTGCACATGCAATACATTGAAAAACATTAATATGGCAAAGACAGTCGGTTGAGGTTCAGTGGTACTAGTAGCCGTTAGTATTGACATTTTTGATCCAGTAGATGTCAGTACTATTACTGATCACAAACGCCTCTGTCATCATGCGATCATAAATATCTTCCATTTTGCCGGTGTTTTTTTTTTTTCTTAATGAAGTTTGACATTGCATTATATGTCAGAAGTCCAATGGAAACGAGCAGTGGTTCAGAAGCAGAAGCAGAGGTCACGGTACCTGTGAACTCAGGTGAAGTCCCCCCACAGTGACGAGAGAGCCGTGTCTCGAGGGGAAATCACAAAGACACGGGGTTACCTGATATTCATGGAAACACTCTGAGTCCACACAAACCTCCTTCAGGAGCTGAATTCGTTCTGGGACAGGCTGCAGTGGCTTTCTTTCTTTCTTTCGGACCTGTCAGAGATCATGGATTGGGGTTCAGATCTTTGGGTGAGTTTATTCTTTACTCGCGTGGTTTTCATGCGCTTCAGACTTTGGAGACTATTACGCTGATATCTTTTGAAGTGAAGGGCAGTCATGATTAACATTTTTTTATGATTTAAAAAGTATAGTTTACTTGTCCGAACTGACGTTATAACTATTAATTACATAAGCGCATACATTTATAATTAATGTACATTTCAAAAACTGTAGACAAAGGTGAAACAATGCGCAAAAACAATTTATTTGACATTTAAAAAGCAAAACACGTGTTTTTATGTTGATAATTTATGTAAATCCAACCATTGTGATCCAGAAAGTGTGCTAGTGATATTGAAACTAAGTCACAATTTAAATAAAAAGATAATTATAAAGTGATATAAATTATGTTTGCGTTAAAAAAGTTGGCTGCAGAACGCATTTCTTATTTTAAACGTCTATGAAGAAATTAAAAAATGTTTCCACACTGATTTTTTTATGTTTACCTATATTTATACTATTATTTATTCTTTAGGTCACGTGACAGTTTCACTGAGATTTCCTTTCTCTGTCTGGGGTTGTACTAGTGCAGGTTAAACTGGTTTAGGCACCACTGGTGTCTGATCATCTCTGAACAGCAGTAAAGACCAGACAAACTATTTCTGGTCTCCATTGCTTTGGAATGATTTCTGAACCAACAGGAAGTAGATCAGTGAGCTCACACACCTTCCTGTTAAATTAGATGCGTGTCTAATGAATAAGAGCTTAAATACAGACTCAACTAAGCGTACTATACAGTGGCGTGTGTGCCTACGTAACCATTTTAGCACAGTTAGGTTATAATATTTATAGTTAGCTGATTTTAAAAACAGTAGTGGTTGCAAGAATTTCTGCTGAAACCAAATGTATCATGTGACCCATCAGGTCGTCTTGTCGCTAGTGTGAAGTAGATCGACCCGTCAAGCTAGTTTGAGAGTTGCACGTGGGAAAAAGAGCGACACACTCGAAGTTTGTCAAAGAGAGAGCCGAGATCGAGCAGAATTACGCCAAACAGCTCAGGCAAGACTGGTTTGGGTTTGCACTGCATCAATCAGGGGTTTTCAGCCTTTGTGATGCCACAAACCCCTAAATATGATCATCTTCACTCGAGAGACTCCCATCCTGAAATTTGAATGGGAACAATGTATTTTCATAAATAAAGACCCAGTTAATACTGTAGAAAAAATAATATTATATGTATAAAATATATTTAGCCTTTTCTACTCACTATTGTGCTATAGTGTTAAATTTATTATTTCTTTTACATCAATTTTATTTATTCCAATATATTTTTATTTTTATTTATTTTAATAGTTTTAATAATTTATTTTTATAATACATTTTTTAGTTTAATCATATTATTATTATTTTTTTTTTTTGTACATTTTTTCTGTAAGCTTTTCTATAGACTCACATTGGCTCATGAATATTAATTAGGGCACAACACCGAACACAACATCATCGCCTCAATCCCTTCACTTTCCATCATCTTGTTTGTCAAATCGCCAGAAAGCTTGTCATATTATCATGCAAGTGTGACAGCAGTGTTTGGAAAACCTGTCATTATTATATATTATTATATTTTGTTTTTCTCATGTACACAATTAATTGTTTTAGTGTTGTTGATCTTGTGTTTTTGAAGTCCCCTGGTGCTCAGGGTTCACATGTTTCTCCTTGGTTTAACATGTTTTGTGTGTGTTTCCCTGAAGGACTCTGTCTAAGAAATATTCCAGACGGGGTGTCAAAGAAGATCAGGACACAAAGTGAGTCGATCAGGCATTAAACTCTGATATTGAGCCTCACTGCTGTCTGTCTGCAGCGCTGCTTCTCCACCGTTTCGAGTTTATTAGCTGGTGTTCTCACATCATGCGTGTGTCTCTCAGCCCTGAACGCGGCGTGTTGTTGACTGTGTTTCTGCAGGCCGAGCAATCAGCAGGCGTTTCAGGATGTGCTGAATCAGCTGAACGATTACGCGGCTCAGAGAGAGCAGCTCTCCGAGAGCATGACGCTGAGCATCTGTGTGGAGCTCAGCAGAAACCTGCAGGAGCTGCGACAGGAGCGCAAGAACGTGAGCCAGAGACCGAGCACTGATAAACCTCACCCGCAGGACATCTTCACAGTGTGCTTCTCTCTGTTGCAGCATCTCTGTGAGGTTAAGAAGGCTCAGCAGAACCTGGAGAGCAGCTCTAAACTGCTGGAGACTGTGAGTGAATGTGTTATTACAGTGTTGAACTGAAAAATAGTTTGTATTGCTCTTTTCAATTACTTTCTAATTTAGTTTTAGCTGGTTTCCTCTAATTGCATTTTAGTTTTGCACATGGTTATTGTTGTTAACTGAAACTAACAACATAGAAAACAGTTTAGCTAATTGAAATGAAATAAGCATGATCTGAAATAAAATATGAAAACACTTAAATCAATTTTTTTTATTTAGTTGACAATACAGTATTTCTCATTTTCATTTAGTTTAACATGCTATACTACCATAAAAAAAATGACAATGATCAAACTATAACTCATTATAATTAATAAAAATGAGGATAATTAAGTAAACACAGCTGGAAACAAATGATGAACTAATCAGGGAGCCTAATGGAAACAGGAAGGACCAAATAAAGAAACAGAAACAGGGGCAAAACATGACACAGACAGTCCATGATCCTGACAATCACTGGTTTTGCGGTAGTATTTAACATTTTTAAGTTGAATTATGTCAGTTTAGTATGTTTAATGGTATGAAGACAAGTTATGAAAATAATAGGTTATTGAAATATTTGCAATATAATTTGGATGGAAAAACTAAAACTAATTAGTTTATGCTCCTTTTTATTTTAATTTAGTTCATTTAGGAGTCATAAAAATGGTTTAGTTTAAAATGTAGCCAAATATAAAACAGAAACATGCACAACACAGCATTTAATATGATATGCAACAATCATGAGTAACTGATCGATTTATTTCTTATCATTTATATGTGTTAATGAAGTGAGCTGTAACATTTAAGACTTTTACAGTATACTCTGGATCAAACTCATTTTTTGCACATTTGTATTTTATTTGAGTTCATTTTGAGTCATGGAAATGTATTTTAGTTTTTCCAATCATGTTAGGTTTTTTTTTTTCAGTCAACAAGAATGTTTTCATTTAAATTTTCTAATAATGTTAAAAACTGTAATTCAGACTGGATACACAAAAACACAACCGCATCCATCACAGCACCTGATCTGATCATGACTGATGGACTTTTCTTATTGTTTATATACGTTTGAAGTAATAAAGAGGGCAACACATTTGAAACAGTTACAGTGTACTGTGGATCAATAGCTAAAGCTAATTTATGCTCATTTCTTTTGATTGTGTTCCATCCAGAGTAAGAAGCGTTTTGAGAAGGAATGGAGAGAAGCAGAGAAGGCCAATCAGCAGACAGAGAAAGTCCAGCTGGATGCCAACGCCACGAGAGCAGACGTGGAGAAGGTACAGACTCCTTCAACACACATACTTACATTTCATGCATCATGGGTAACAGACGCTGTGTGTGTGTGTGTGTGTGTGTGTGTGTGTGTGTATGTTTAGGCCAAACAGCACGCTCACCTCCGCGTGCACTTAGCCGACGAGTGTAAGAACGATTACGCTTCACAGCTGCAGAAATACAACAATGAACAGAACAACTTCTACCACTCAGAGATCCCGTCTGTGTATAAGGTGCGTCATGGTCTGCTTTCATCAGCGAGATCATCAGCCTGACTGGAATATTATGAGCTCTACTTCCTGTCTGTCTGTCTGTCGCTCACAGAAGCTGCAGGAAATGGAGGAGCGGCGCATCAGATTGTTAGCTGACGGTTACGTGCAGTTCTCTGAAACTGAGAAGAACGTCCTGCCCAACATCAACAAGTGTTTGGACGCCATCAGCTCCACTGGGAGGAACATCAATGAGAAACAAGTGTGTATACACACACTCACACAAACACACACACACACACACACACTCACTCTCTCACTCTCTCACTCACTCACACACACGCACACGCACACGCACACACAGACACAGACACAGACACAGACACACACACACACGCGCACACACACACAGACACTCACACAGACACTCAGACACACACACTCACACACAGACACAGACACACACACAGACACATACACACACAGACACAGACACACACACACACACACACTCACACACACACACACATATCAGATTTCCTTGTAGTTTGCATGGAAAGATCACGGTTCATGTTGAAGTTGATGAGCACTGACAGTAGTTTGACAGGAGCTGCAGGAATGTGTGCGTGTGGTCATGTGACTGTACATCATTCCACTCTCATGTGTGTTCACTTCTCTCCACTTCATAAGTTCATATTTACTGATGTAGTTACTGTTTTTTAATCAAATTGATCAGTATAAATTGATAAAAATAAATAACTTTATTTAAATATTTAAATACATTCCTTAGCCATCTTCAAGAATCGTCTAAAAACACATTTCTTCCATCTTTATTTGACCCTCTAACTCTAGCACTCTCTATTCTAATTCTATTCTATTCTTTAAAAAAATGCTCTATTCTTTTTCTATTCTATGTTTTCTTTTTATTGATTATATAATTTAAAAAAAAACTTGCTACGTGTACTGCGGTAAGCTAACTGAGACTTGTTATAGCACTGCTCTTTTGTTGGTTTTGATTGCTGCTATTGTCCTCATTTGTAAGTCACTTTGGATAAGAGCATCTGCTAAATGACTAAATGTAAATACATTTGATTAAATGACTTTTGACTGTAGGCTTTGGTGTCTTGACTGATCTGAGCACAGTTTGAGACGTCACTGAGATCTCTGAAACCCTAGACACATGTGAGATCGCTGGGCTCTTGTTCTCAGGAGAAACATCTGATCTGAGGAGCAGGAGATTCAGCCTTTGATCTCTGTTTTGCTGAAACAGCTGAGACATTAAGGATCTACTGTGTGATTTCTCATCCCTGCGCTGTATGAAGAATAACTACATGTTAGAAGGACACTGTGGTTTGCCGCACTGATGTGGTGTTTGTGTGTGTAGGACACTCTGGCTCTTATAGAGCAGTATAGATCAGGCGCGGCGCCTCCTGCTGACGTGGAGTTTGAGGATTACAGTCAGGGAGTCAAAGCTGCTGCATCTGACAACACTACGACACACCTGCCGAAAGTCCGCATCAAACAGCTGTTCCACAAGAAAAACAAGGTGCACACACACACACACAGCCCGAGTACTGCAGTAATTACTGTAAACCATCATCACACCGGCCACAGATTAGAACATGGTGAAATAGAGCTAGCACTGGAATCATTATGACATGTACAGTGTATATATGATGTATGTATTTGTAAATATATGTGAACTTACGTTTGTGCATGTGTTAGAATTTTCAGGTGACGTCTTCTGATAAAAACACGGTGAGCAGCTTTATGCATGACGTTTCATTTTTTATTTTGTGAACAAATTTGTGTTTGAAATCTGCATACAGATGTGTCACAAACAAATCATGACTCATCAGTAAGTTTCATATTAACATTTGTTCTAGTCGGGGTTGATGTAAGATTAGAGTATCAGAATCTTTGTTAAGAGTATGTACTCTAGCAGTCAGTCTGAGTGTTTAGTGTGTGGAGTATTGATGTGTGTGTGTGTGTGTGTGTGTGTGTGTGTGTGTGCGTATGTGTCTGTCTGCATGTCTGTGTGTGTGTGTGTGTGTGTGAAGCCGTCTTCGCTGGAGGATCTCTCTCGTCTCCCTCCGGATCAGAGAAGGAGACGTCTGCAGGAGAAGTTCGATGACATCCAGAAGGAGCTGCAGAGAGAGACGGAGCAGAGGTACATCAGCACACCTATAACTTCACGTTTCCATGACTACAGCCTCACTAACTAATCCTGTTTCCATGACCATAAATGCACTAACTGATCCCGTTTCCATTACTACAGTAGAGTTACACTAACTGAGCAAGTTTCCATGACTACAGCTGCACTAACTAGTCCTGTTTCCATGACTACAGATGCACTAACTGATCCCGTTCCCATGACTGCAGATGCACTAACTGATCCTGTTTCCATGACTACAGATGCACTAACTGATCCTGTTTCCATGACTACAGATGCACTAACTGATCCTGTTTCCATGACTACAGATGCACTAAGGCCGTGTTCACACTGTAAAGTTTAAAGAGTGATACCCACATTTAAATACAGGAGTGAATCTCTCAATTGTGATGATTGACACCATGGTAACCATAACAACGTTCAGGCATCTCATGCATTTGATATCTATTTTTGAGCAAAGTAATATTACAGTGACCAAAGACTCTTGTGAAACCCGGTTTCACAGACAAGGCTTAAGCTAGTCCCAGACTAAAATGCGTGTTTGAGCTGTCTCAACTGAAAATATCTTGCTCTGACATATCTTAAAATATGTCAGTGTCATTGTTCTGTGTCAAGATGCACACCTGTAATGTTTTCTTCTAAGGCATTTTTGTAAAAGTTGCTTAAATATCTTAATTTAACTAAGGTCTAGTCCTGGCTTAAGCTAAGTCCTGTTTGTGAAACCGGGCCATTATGTTCGGAGATTTTTAACTAAACCACCGTCGACAGAGCCGTCGTGCTGAAGTGCTCTTGAAGGGTTGCCATGTCCACTTATTATTATAAGCAACACTTTCTGTGACGACAGAAACTAGCAGATCCTAAGAATCCTGCCGTTCACATTGACACTTTTACACACGTCTGTCTGTCTGTCGATCTGTCAGCGAGGCTATGATGAAGATGAAGGGTGTTTATGAGCAGAACTCTCAGCTTGGAGATCCGTCCAGCCTTCAGCCTCAGATCATACAAACCGCTCATAACATCGCCAAACTGAGAGGAGAGCTCAATAAATACCAGGTACACACACACACACACACACACACAGACACACACACACACACACACGTCTAGCATTTACACACATGTAAACACACGTGTGTTCTGCAGGTTCAGCTCACTGAAGCCGGCGGTGGGACGCTGCAACACTATCCCGCCAGGTTGGTCCATCAGCAAACACATCTGTCTTCATGTGGGATTGTGTGTGTTTTGAAAACATTTTCATGATCACCAAACTCTCCTGAAGATCACTGGTTTGACCTGAGATGTTTGTTTACATCCTAGTATGATTTTAACCGGTTTAATGTGTGTGTAGTTCAGAGTACATCACCGTGCTGAGTGAGTCCAGCGTGTCTCCGTCAGAGAACATCTATGAATGTGAATTTGATGAGGACTTTGACATTGACGTGCCCATCGGTCAGTGCACAGCACTCTATGACTTTGACGGTGAGCTGTTCTCTTTTGTGCACTTTGTCACTTTTAACGTTCAGTGGACAGTCAGATCCATCTGTCCGGCCTCCCCGTGAGCATCTGTGTGTGTGTGTTTCAGGCGGCAGCGAAGGCGCCGTGAGCATGCATGTGGGCGAGCAGCTGAGTCTGATGCAGGAGGATCAGGGCGACGGCTGGGTCCGAGTACAGAGGGCCAATGGAGACGTGGGATACGTGCCGGCGTCCTACATCCAGATCATCTGATCGCACCTGCAGCCAGCATCAGAAACAGCTGATAGCGTGTTTCACAGGAGTGTGAGCTGTGCTCATCTGACTCCATCAACTCTAGTGCTTTTATGTCACAGGGAGTGTTTTCACGTTTTTCATGTTGCACTTTTTGATTTCTTTCTTTTCTGTCAGCATGCATTATGCTGCTTCTGGTGATTTTCTGCACATCTGTAGTTTTAAAATGGATTTTAGTTGTCTTTTTCTATTGTGTTTGTCTACTGTTGCACGCCTTTTGTATCGCATTGTTGTAACTTCATGATGCATAATTACAGTCCATTGTGTCCAAATGTGTGCTGATTGATTGGTGTATTTATTTTAAAGATCCATTCAACCCAAAAACGATAATTATAATGATATCTATATTAGTGTTCACACCAACATATCATTCTGTTTATTGGTATAAGTGCGTCTGTCACTTTAAATGCTTGAGCAGCCACAAAGACCAACAGTCAAGGTCAGACTTTTCATTAAATAATATATTACATTTCAATTTGATCATAAACTCCAAGAACACTTGGAAAATATAACTTTTGTTGCGTGGGATCATTTCTGTTATATGATGTGGGTGTCATTCTGTGTCATTATATGGATGAGCGCGAATGGGACTTTTCTTTAAATTTCTCCATTTATGGTCCAAAAATGAAGTCTGTTTATGAAGTCTGCCGCTTTTACTGCTCGAGGTCTTTATTAAAGATGGATTCTGTTTGGCTGTCAGTGTTCTTATCGTTTATCGGCTGGACAAAAGCTTTCTGGAAGTGATTCCAATGATATCGTTCCTCAGTGTGAGGTGTGTGGTTATAGTTGTGTGGACCTCATTCTCATTGAATTATAATGATTATTTCAACTTTACACTCATTGTTCTTGGTGTGAATGGGCCTTAAGGTATTTAAAGTTTGGATTTTAAATTCAAACTCGAGAATGTTAAAACACGGTACTGTAATCTTGTTCTTTGCTTCAGTTGTGAGTGTGTGCAGGCTTCAGATCAGATGTGATGGTGAGTTTGTAGATTTGAGATGTGCAGCAGCTGTTTTGGTGTTTGTCTCCCTCTGCCGGCTGCACACAACAATCTGGCAATATTTTCATTTAAAGCGAAACGAATTTCACTCTGTTTACGTTTGTACTTTTTCCAGGGCTTCCTCTGTGTGTGAATTAATTGGTTAAGTTTTATTACACCAAAATGTATTAACTCGCTATTTTTTTTCTTATATTTTTGCTTATTTTTCACTTTTGACTTTATTCAGTCCCATCCTGCCCTTTCCAGCTCATTGAATATGCTGTTTACCCAATCCTGACTATAATATGAAAGTAAATCAGGTTGTGATGCTGTTTCATGTTGACTGTAAACTAAACAGGCTCAGTTTGATATATTAATTTCCATTTTAATCCATTAAGAAACTAAAATATATTATTTCCATATAAACGGTCACAAAAAGATTCAGGTGAGAGAAAGCATGTCTCTGAATTTAACCATACAGATTTGGCATATTTCGCTCAAGTGTGAACAATCACAGCTTTAAAACGTCGTCATCATCACTGTACAAACTGAAGGTGAAGTGTTAAAACATTGAATTTTATAACAGACGATTTGGTCAGTTACATGTGCCACTAGTGTCAGAGAATCGACACACTTCATCTTTACAACAGCATCGTGTCTGAAAGTCCTTTATCATTTCATGGTGCTTTAGCTTGGAGAGCCTTTGTGGTCTTTTTTAACTCAGATGTGGGAACGTTCAGAAGGCCATATCCTCAGCCGCCAGCAGGGGCGCTGAAGAGCTCAAACCTCAGCGCTCCCGTCCGGTTCCAGTTTGTTGGAGAGGACCGTGAGGATCCTGTCGAATTTGGCGTAGCGCTCCTTGTGGTCGGCCTTGGTGCCCATTTGTCCCCAGAAGAGCCGAAGGGCAAACTCGGTCTGAAACACCTCCAGCAGCTCCGGGATTGGCTCCCATCCGGCTGGGGGCAGAGAGTGACAGGTCAGTCGGCCAATCAGAGCTTCATAATGCTTTGCATGCATGTTTGCCAGCGTCGCCAGTTTGGGGATTTTGTCACCAAATTTAGCTACTTTCTCATTGTTGCAACTTTTAATGAATTTTTTTTGGGGGGGGGGGTTGTCGTAATGCTTGCGACAATATTTGCAATATTTAAACATTTTTGGAGTTAACAAACATACAAAAACAAGAAAAACATTCTGTAGCTTCTAACTTTCTGAGTTTTACATGTAGCCTAAATTATGTCATGAATATGCAAATCATACATTTAGCTACTTTCCGAGCACATTGTAAAAAAAATAAGTTGTAATAAAACAAAGATTACTCAGATTGTGTTTTACAAGAAAACACTATTTCAGTCTTTTTACTTTAAAATGTAATATTTAATTCAATGTGTTACTCGCTGTTTCTTTTTAATTATTTGTGGAAATGTTTCTAGCAGTTTCTGAGAAAAGCTCACCAGAGAGCAGGCCGTGAGCGTGTTGCGTGCAGTCGTTAGCGTGTAGCGCGGCGTTGCGTGCCGACTGCAGCAGGTTGTAGAGCAGCTGGCAGCCTCTGTCGGTGGACTCCACGCTGTCCTCGCCCTCCATCAGCCTCAGCAGCGGCTCCATGTGCGGCAGAGACAGCGGCCCCGACACCACGGCGTCTATCACACACAACACTCGTTGGAAACTCACTCAGCGTCCACACCAGACAGCTCATGACAAACACTCACCGTCGCCCTCATTCAGGGATTTCATGAAGGGCTTGAGACTCTTTTCAAACTTCACTGCACTGTCGGTGTGACTGCGCCTCAGCGCCCTCCACGTCATCTCCAACCTCACCACCTGTGATATTATTCATATATTAAACATTAAAATCATAGAAAGAATATTGTTTTTTCATGCATTGGTCATTTTTGAGATTTTGGCTTTTCATAACATGTGGAAAGAAAACATCCAAAATACATTTTAGGTGTTTATTTTAATACAGTTTCTCTATTTGCATCCGTCGATTTTAAATATAATACATATATTTTAAAGTTTATTTTCTCTAATTCAGCAGCACTTATATACTAACATTCACACTGATTTAGACAACATTTTACCCCTACAACATGGTGAAAGTGCTTATATTTAAAGGTTGTGAGTTTTTTCTCCACTTCAGCAGAACTTACATACACCAAAACGTAGTGTTATATTCATCTCTATATTCTGAAGGTTTTTACTGAGGGGTTTGTTCATATTTCATTCACACTGATTTATATAACACTTTATTCCTAAAAACAAGGTGAAAACATATTTTTGTCTGTCTGGTGACAGTATTTTCTGATTTATGGAGTGATAAAAATAAAAATCCAAAATCCCCTCTGTAAAATCCTTTAACTCTAATATGACAACATAATCTTGTCCAATCTTCAGATTAATATTTTGTGAATTAATGCAAATTAGTGCGTATTAGATAATGCCTCATTTGGATATTTAGACCTAGAATAGTTTGAAATTCTTAGTGTAGTCAGTCAACTGGTGAAGTATGGTGATAACTATAAGTTACAATTTCATCCTATGCTTTAATATATTATTTAAAATGACTATTATTATTGCATTTGAACTGAGTGTAGGAGGTACCTGCGGCAGCTCCAGCGCTTTCATGACGGCGGAGAAGGCGTACAGGTCGTGTGTGGTGTTGCGCAGCTCCTGTGCCAGCTGGATGATCCTGTGCAGCACCGTCGCCCGCTGACCCACTGTCCCAGAACAGCCCAGAAGATCCACCGCCACACCCAGAGCCAGAGTGTGATGCCTGATGGGGAATCACAGCATGACATCATCACGCGTCACATGACAACAGCATCAGCATCAGCATCCGCATCGTCACGGCAGCACACACCTCTCCAGCAGGTCCTGTCTGAGCTGGCCTCCGTGTGGCAGCGTGATGAGCTCCAGACCGGTTTCCACTCCCATGATCCTCTTCTGCTCCACCGTCACCCCTGTGACCCGAGCCACCTGAGGCAGACAGAGGCTCATGACACGTGTGTGTTATTTTAGTATTATTTATGACCTATTATAGTTTTTATTAATATTTTGTGTGATGATCTTCCTCAGTATTTTTGCCTTGTTTTCCAGTACAAATATCTAAACATTCTTAAACCAAGATACATTTACTGGAGCTACAAAATGACTTTAGGTGCTAAGTTTTATTTTATGAAAAACGTATGCTTAAAATGAGAAAAAAATATCTGCCAATGCGGTCAGAAAATAAACACAGTTCAAAGGGAAAACAAGATACTTTTTCACCATCTGCTCTTGTTTTAAGCATAAACTCACATAATTTTGATAGATTTCACAGAAAACAAGATTTAATATCATTAATTTTCCTTATCAAGTAAATGTATCTTGATTTTAGCGTTTTTAGGTATTTGTAATCAGTTTTTTAATTTATTTATTAAAAATTCATTTTGATTTTAATTAAAATTTTAGTAGTTGTGTCATTTTATTAGTTTGGTTTATTACTACTATTTGATTTAATTATTTTAGTTGAAAATAATTAGAAAATATGATTTTCTAGCTTAGTATTTTTGTCTTGTTTTCCAGTACAAATATCTAAACATTCTTAAAGTAAGATACACTTACTTGACAAGCAAAATTACTTAAAATATTTATTATTTCTAATCTAGATATTCAGAAAACTTAAACTTAATATAAAATGGAATTAAAGGTTATTTTTCCAATTCTTTTTCTTTTGTTTTAAGCAAACTCGATTTTGATCAGTTTTTCAGAAAACAAGATCTATCCTAAGTCATGAGATCTATCTTAATATCTTAAGTCAATTTGATGTTTCATAATTTAAGAATGTTTGCATATATTTGTAATAAATTTCATTTAGTTTAAGTTATGTTTCTTTTATTTCAGCTGCATCTCAATTAACATAAGTTTAAAATCGCTTTAGTGAGTGATGATAACCCTGGCGTGTGGTACCTGGCAGTTGACGCTGAGCATGTGCAGCGCGGTGGTCCTGGCGTCGGTGCGCGTCAGCAGCTCTTTGACCTTCAGCAGGACACTCTGATCCAGTGGACGGTTGTTATCCGGCAGCAGGAGCGAGCGGAACTCATCCAGACGGAAACATGATGTGGTCTGAGTCAGCGGCCGCTCGAAACGCCACTCGCGCTCGTCCTCCTTGATCCTCTCGCTCTCCCTGCACTCCTCCTCCAGCTTCTGCGCCTCCAGGAAGCCAAAGCTGGTCTCGGTGAGACGCGCGCGGCTGGTCCATCGCTCCTGAGCGCGGAGACGCGCCGCGTGACCTTTGGGCAACATGCTGACGGGGACCTACAAGAGGTTTCTTGGGTTAATGAATATTTTTCAAACTGAATGCAAAAGTTTTGCAAACAAATGCAAAAGCATTTTTCCTCTCATCTTATATTTTTTTCTATTACTGTATACCCAATGATACAACTAGACCAGAGTTTGGTCAAGTACATGGGCTTGGTTTTGAAGTCATGTTGACTTTAGACGTGCATGTCATGTGCTCGTGAACTCTCACCTGTGGCACCAGCTCACTGTAGAGGCCGCCAGGATCAGACTCCGCGCTGGATTGGGATTGAGCCGGGGTGAGAACGATGGAGATCCGCAGCGGTTTGGGAGGCTCTCGA